GTCTTACAGTATCTAATATATTTAGTACTTAAAAATGTACTTAAGTATTGTCCTGATGCATCTCAGTAATCCAGGTAAAAAATCAAAGAGAAAAAAATTATGTAGGTCTTCTGGACGGGTTCTTCTCTGATGAAACGTTTCGTCTCTCCTTTGTGAAGAAAGACCGTCCATCATTAAACAGAGGTGGAGGCCTCCGTTTTCAGTTGTCCCCCTCCTACAGTGCTGCTATTGCCAGTATCACTCCACTCCCTGTTAACAATAAGTGTTAATTAGGTGTCAATTATAGCCAATTTTATGTGAGTATCAGTCACATGGAGGCAGTGCTTAAAAGCCTGAATTTTGCCTGAAACTCTCAGACTGAAGAAGTCTCTTGGAGGAGAGACGAAACGTTTCATTAGAGAAGAACCCGTCCAGAAGACCTACACAATTTTTTTCTTTTTGATTTTTTACCTGGATTACTGAGATGCATCAGGACACGCTGTGTAGAAACTTTAATCTAGATATTCCTTTAGGATTTAAAGCAGGTGAGGTCAGTTCTTGGAGAAGTTCCCAGAATTTGTGAGCCACAGTTTAACATGAGAGATGCCAAAAATGGTCAAAGGAACGATTGTGTTTGAGTGTTACTACTGCTTAAAGACTTTAAACACACACACACACACACACACACACACACACACACACACACACACACACACACACACACACACACACACCTGGGAGCTGACGTAGAGTTTCAGACAGCCGGCACACACGGCCCTTCTGCAGCAGGGCAGCCGCGARRTGAGCTTCTCCTCCAGGCACACCTGGCAGCACTCCGCCTCGTCGCTCCCAGAGTCGGCCTGGTCCCGGTGTTGACGCTGGGTGACATCCCCCATCAAATCAGCCACGTCGTCTAGCGAGTACAGCTCCAGGTCGGAACTAGGACCCACCACCTGTCCCGTCTCGGAGACATTTTCCGTCCCGTCGGATGTAGCCACCGCGTCCGTGATTTCAGCGTCCGCTCGATGAGCGTCGTTGGCGATGCAGTAAACAGTGCAGTAGACGTGTTCTTTGGCGCTGACAGGCTTACCTAAAGTGGTCGTGTTGCCTTCACTGTCACATATATGTTGGCACTCATCTGTAACAGTCAGGTTTTCTACTCCTGGACCGTTAAAAGTCGTTAACTCACTCGGGGTSTGCTCGTTTTTAGCCCCCGTTCCTCCCGTTTCCACGTACGACTTTCGGCACTCGTCGCACTCTGCTCCATATCCGTCTTTAAGCTCGTTTCTGCCGTTCTCTTCGTCGGTTCCATGTTCGGCTCCGCTCGGCATCCGACTCCTTGTGCTCAAGCGGAGAGACGGGGACTTCGAATCCCCGAAATTTCTCCTCAGAATGTCGACAGCGCTCGCCCTCCGCCTCGCTCTTCTTCCTCCTCCGCCGTTGCAGTTGTTGTTGTTGTTGCCTTCTGCATCCCTCTCCTCCTCCTCGCCGCTCCTCTCCCGGGAGTTCCTGTCGCCTTCGTCAAGCGAGTTGGATCGGATGACACCCCGGTTTGTGTCGCCAACTTTACCGTCGGCTAAAGAACTTTCCGCCAGCAGGTTGCGGGACAGCTTCACCCTCCCTTCGTCAATGTTGCTAATAATAAAACTCGGCATCCTGAAGGCGTCGGCTATCGGTCCGTCATCTTCCATCCCCGATTTAGCTCTCCCCATTGAGTGAGAGGGTCTGCCCCGGGCGGACCTCCAGCCTGCTGGCCTGCTAGCCTGCCTCTGCTCCCCAACTCCTACTACCAAAACAAAACAAAGCAGGCAGCTGCTTACTTCCGGGCAGCTACGTAAGCACGAAGTAGAGTCGTGATTGGCTGATGGGAAACGTAGTGTAGAGTACACAAAACTACACACAAAGGTTTCTATTTCAGTGAAAATATGATTACAACATATAAAGGCACATTTCCATCACTTTGATTAAACACATCTCTTAGTTATTACTGTGAGATAGTATCCCTTAATGATGACTTAGTGCAGGGTGTCCAAAGTGTGGCCCGGGGGGCATTTGTGGCCCTTGAACTGATTTTGTGTGGCCCCTGACTTCAGTTCAAKAATTCTACTAATTTGTTTGCAAATTTGTCCCGGAATAGGTGTTTGATGTAGATGGAGGTTTTCTATTTATTATTAGGGCAAATTTATCACAAAGTAAAATCTTATAATAAAAAATATTAGCAACAAGACAAATTTTTTGTCTTTCAGTAACCAGACTCAGCTTTTTCCACATCTTTTTAGTGACTTCTACTCAGGAGCTGGTTTTGTTGCACCTCAATCTGCTTTTAATTCTTTTACTAATTTTATTTGAATACAGCAAGCATTTTCAACAAAAGAGTGACCTAAATCCTGATTTTATTGATCAGAATTGACTAAA